ATTGTTTGCTTTGACTCGTTACGTAGAGAGGTTTCCACACGCTTACAAGAAATATTTTATCCCACTCCCCAACCAATGTGGGGGATCCCACAACTACGAATCTTCCGAGTAAATAAACGATGAGGTATAGGTCAATCATAATTTAGTTTATTTGATTGTATATTCTTCAACAACTCGACTAAGATTCATGAAATTATATTTTTAAGCCCCGGAGCACACTAAACCCAGTCGATAAAGCATACGAAAACTTGATCGGGTTCAAACCGAACTCTCCCACATTCCATCCACTTAAAACATTGTTCATCAATTTTTTTTTCTTCCTTGGATTGTAGACAATCAAGGGATCCAAAAACATTGTTTTCCGAAATGGTCCTTTTCTCCAAAATCCACACTTTTGGGGGCTAAAATTTGAAATTACCACCATGATTACTCACTCTTCACATTTCTTCACTCTGATTATCAGCATCACATTCCTAACCCAAAACCATCAAGATTCTCATGGCAAAGGATGCGCACATCTCCGTACTTTCGCTCCCGATCTCACTCTTGTCTTCATCCTCAGTCCCCCAATTTTCCATCAATTTTTCGGTGTCTCAATCGATTCTGCAACTAATTTGTTTACTGTCGGGAAGCTCTGGTTACTAGCTTTGATCTTGCTCTTGTTTAGTTTATGTACAGTGGAAGAAAAAGGAGGAGATCGCTATGGATTTTGACCTTCTGAACAATCCCCATCCGCACCCTTTGTTCTTCATCGAAGAGGGGAAGAATGATGAAGTGGTTTTCTGCACCAGATGCCGTCGAATATTGCATCCGCCGGCGTTCAGCTGCTCCGATTCAGCCTGTAACTTCCATATCCATCAATCTTGCATCGACCTTCCTCCGCAAATCCACAACCACTTCCACCCCGAACATCCTCTTTCTCGATCCACCAACAACCACATCTGTAATGCCTGTTGGCAAATGCCGTCGGGCGATGTTTATCTGTGTCGCAGCTGCGGTTTTCAGATTGACGTCAAATGCGCCATCGCCGACACCAAAGCCAGCGGTGTACGGCAGACGTCCGATAACGAGTTTCGACATTTCAGCCATCCCCATACGTTAACCCTTCAGCGAGAACAAAACATAACAACCAATGAAATTGTTTGTGTTGTCTGTGGATTGCTTATAAAATCAGGTTCTTCTTATTACTTTTGCTCTATTTGTGACGCCCATTTTCATCAACAATGTGCCGAGCTGCCGCGCGAGATGCTAAACTCTGATTTTCACGAGCACCCTTTATTTCTTCTTGCCGATGTTACCCATACCCAAACCATCTGTAATAGTTGCAAAAATGACTGCGGAGAGTTCATCTATAACTGTTCCCCATGCGAATTCAACCTTCATGTCGCTTGCTTACAATCTTTCAATCATAAACACACCTTCACCAAATTTAGGAATCAGATACAGTTTGTTTGTCGAGCATGTGGTGAGAAAGGAAATGGATTCTCATGGTATTGCACCATTTGCCATCTTTCGGTTCATAAAGAATGTGCTGAATTGCCGTTAACTTTGAGGACATTTGGACACCGCCTTCATGATCTTAGCCTCACCTATTTTCGTGATGGGATTGATTTTGTAGGCAACAAGATGGATTGTAAGTTCTGTGGGGAAGAAATAAAGACCAAATATGCTGCATATGGTTGCTACAAATGCAAGTACTTTGTCCACTTGGATTGTGCTCGAAAGCAACCTAACTTCACTGTGGATGATCTTGATTCTTCCGATGATGAAAACGCCAAGATTGAGGTTTCCGGCTCTGAGATTCAACATTTCATTCATCATCATCGTTTAGCCTTTGTCACTGAGGAGCAACTCAGGCAGGACAGAGTTTGTGATGGGTGTATGAAGCGCCTTTCAGGTCCATCTTACGGCTGCGAGGAGTGTGGTTTCTTTGCCCACAAAGAATGTCTTGAATTGCCTAGAAAGAAAAGGAACTTCCTCCACCAACATAGGCTGAATCTCATCTCAATCCCAGATTTCGTCTTCCAATGCAAAGCTTGTCTCAAACATTTCAATGGCTTTGCCTACCACTGCAAAACATGTCTCTCCACATTTGACACCCGATGCGCCTCAATCAAAATCCCATTTGAACACCCTGGTCACCAACACCCCTTATCTCTTGACCGCTCAAACGACGACCACATATGTGAAGGTTGTAAGGAGGGGGTGAAGAACAAGATGGCGTTTCGATGTGTCGACTGCAACTTCCATTTGGATGCAGGATGTGCGACACTGCCACTTGGAGTAAGATACAGATTTGATCCACATCCTTTAGACCTGACATTTGTTGAGGATGAAGAAGAAGAGTATTGTTGTGATATCTGTGAGGAAGAAAGAGAGCCGGGGCCGTGGTTCTATAGCTGCCAAAAGTGCAGTTTTGCTGCACATTTGGACTGTGCTGTTGGCATGTTTCCCTTCGTGAAGTTAAAGAAGCATGAAGCTCATAAGCACACGCTGAAACTTGGGATGAAAGGGAAGGAAGAGGATTGTGTGGCTTGTGGTGAATCATGTGCTGAGGAGTTGGCCTATGAATGCATTTCCAATTGCAAGTTCAAGGTGCACGCCATTGGGCTGTGTTACCACAGGCAGGTAGTGCAGGGGAGCCTGGCTTTCATCAATCGTTCTTTTTCCTCTCGTGGAATTGGACTCCACCAACACACTATTCAAAAGTAAGTATGCCCAATGATGCACTTTTAACTCTCTTTTGTGATCTGTCTTGTGCTTGGTTTGTTAGTTTGCTTCAAGTTTTTATTCTATGACAAAGAGAGGGTTTATAAATGTATTACCAGCTGCTTTTATCCATTGAGCAATACTTGGCTTTGTGGGCTTTGTGGATCGTTGGGAGGGAGTCCCTCGTTGGCTAATTAAGGAGTTGATCATAGGTTTATAAGTAAAGAGTACATCTCGGTACGAAGCCTTTTGGGAAAACAAATCTCGGTACGAAGCCTTTTGGGAAAACAAAAAACAAAGCTATGAGAGCCTATACTCAAAGTGGACAATATCATACCAGTGTGGAGACTCGTAATTTCTAACATAGTATCAAAGTCATGCCCTTAACTTAGCCATATCAATAGAATCCTCAAATGTCAAATAAAGAAGTTGTGAGTCTCGAAGGTGTAGTCAAAAGTGACTCAAGGGTCGAACAAAGGGTGTATTTTGTTTGAGGGCTCCAGGGAAGGAGTCGAGTCTCCATTAAGGGGAGACTGTTTGAGGGCTACATAGGCCTCAGAGGAGGCTCTATGGTATACTTTGTTCGAGGGGAGGATTGTTGAGCATTGTTGGGAGGGAGTCTCACATTGGTTGAGGATCTCTGTCACATTGGGCTGATTAAGGAATACATCTCCATTGGTATTAGGCCTTTTGGAGAAACCAAAAGTAAAGCCATAAGAGCTTATATTCAAAGTGGACAATATTATACCATTGTGGAGGTCCATGACTCCACAATTTTTAATGGGCTGGTCTACTTCTTAGTTAGTTAGAATGTATAAATTATGTAACGACTCCAAGTGTTTTTGAACTTAGATTCTGCGAAACTGAAAATTATTTGGTCATTTGATAGCGGGCGCATTCATAGAACGATCGGGCCGTATGGAGGTGGAGGTGGAAGTGCTTGGAACGAAAAAGTTTTCACAAAGATCAGAGCATTCGGTATTAATCATCAAGAGTTGATCTACTCCATTCAAATTCAGTATGAGAAGGATGGGAAGTTGACATGGTCGACAATGCACGGCTCAGATGGCGGTTCAAGATCTGAGGTTAACCTCAAAACTTCTTATGAATCTCCTGTTGTTAAATTTGTTTGCCTCAATCAGATTGAGATTCTTAGTAACTAGTAGGAAATTATGGGTCTGTCTTCTTTTATCAATGTTCTTCCAATACTTCAAAGATTAAATCCTGTTGAAGCTAAGTGATCTGTAATTGCAGGTTGTTTTTGATCAAGACGAACATCTCGTCTCAATTCATGGCTATTATAGTGACTTAAGTGAATGGAGAATTGCACTCGTTGTTATCCGATCACTGACATTGGAAACAAATAAAAAAAGTCATGGGCCGTTTGGTGTTGAAGATGGAACCAAATTTTCATTCCCAACGGGAATAAAGCTCGTTGGCCTTCATGGTAGGTCTGGTTCGGTTCTTGATGCCATAGGACCCTACGCCATTGCTAAAGAGTAGGCTCATCCTTTTAAGGCAATTTATGATGCTAAATACATTCTACTCTTCACAAAAATTCTGGATCTTTGTTCATATTTCATTTGTACAACTTGTAGTCAAATGTACGGACGGGTAATGTAATTGTAACTACTCGATATTTTACTCTTTGGCTTTCGCGCCAGTAAATATTGTATTATTTGAGCTTTCTCTTCCTGGGCTTCCCTTCAAGGTTTTAGAATGCATTAGTACTAGTAGATATTTTACTTTTTAGACTTTTCCTTCAGACTTCCCCTTATGGTTTTAGAACCCATTAGTGCTAGTAGATATTATTTTTTTTAGGCTTTTCCTTTGAGAGTTCACCTCAAGGTTTTACAATGCATCCACTAAGGATTTTCTCTCCAATCGCTGGGTAATCTCACGATTCACCTCTGTTGGGGACACTCCAATAGATGTGGAATCTCACAATTCATTTCTCTTGGGATGCTCTAACAAAGATGTAGGATCTCACACTCCATCTCTGGACCCAGCATCCTTGCGGGCACATCGCTCGGTGTTAGTATGAAATGTTTGAAGGTGTTAGTATGAAGTGTTTGAAGGATAAATATCAAGTTTAGTTAAATTATCTATAAAATTTTAATACTTGGAAATAAAATAATTCTTAATACAAAATTTAGAATATAAATTAAAATATCTAACCGTTCTAAGTAAAGCATCCTCCTTTTTTCAAATTTTAAAACTCCACCTGAAATTCTAAAAATTAATCTGAGATCCAAGGAAAAATATTACAGTAAAAAATATGAACTTGAAAATTGGGGTATTTGAAGTGTTGCTTGAAACCTGCTGTATCCGGCGGACTGGATAATAAGGATTTTGGAGCATAATTTACTACCCACAATTTCATCACAGATTGTTGCCTGATTATTGAATACAATGTCTAAACGAAGCTTCTTTCCAGAATAATATATACAGCTGGAAAATATTGGAGCAAGTTGAGCAATGGATCATTCACAGGCCGGCTTGGTGTCAAAGCTACTAAGGCAAATTGCAAAGGCTTGGAAAGCTGAGAGAGGATACCGATAATCCATCGTAAAAATATCCTTTCCAATCTTACCAAACTGCAAAATCACTCGCTCTTGTTCAGCTGCAGACACATTTTCACTTGTCTCCACAGCAGCAACCAGCTGAAAGTTTTTCACCGAGGCTACCGTGACGCGCCCTTTGAAATTGAGGCACCAGCACTGAAGCTGTTCGTGCCATCTCGGAGCTTTGTTCTTCAATACCAATGGAGCCATTGATTCTTGAGGCTTCGGACACTCGATTACCGGCTTCTTACCTTCGCAAATCGATGTCGATGAATGATGCTCATTGATACAGTCTTTAAACTCCGTGGGAGTTGGGGCAGTGCCACCCTCCTCCACGGCTGCAACAGGTATTGAATGCATGGTGCACCTCATTCGTCTCGGGCCTCTCGTGCGGAGGACGTTCAGCTCGTAAGCTACGGCAGCAACTGTATAGTTCGTCGGAGTTTTACTTGGAGAAACCTGTTTCAAATGGATTCTTCGCTTTGATCTACTGGTTGGCAGTTTTGGGTCATGTGGAGGCTGACTGTCGTAAATCGAAAACTTGGTCCCCAGAAAATTTGACCTGTTCCATCATCAACTCTCAGTTCATTTATGAAAAACAAAGCAACCCCCTCGAATGTAATTGTTGCTTACCTTAACTTTCCAATGTAATTGTTGCTTGCTCGAGAGAAGTCGTCTGGAACTAATGATACAATGAACTCTGTACTCATGGCTCGTCGAAATCTTTTTGCAGTAAGCAAAAGTTTACTTAGATTACCCGACAGGGCTGTAAATGAAACAAAAAAGATGTGATTAGATGTGTAAAATAATGAATCAAAGACTCCTTATGATAACAAACATTGGTCTCTTTGAACAATTATATGAAGAACTGATTTCAGCTACAGAACTTTCTTCACATTTTTTCACTTTATTGAGAAAAAGGGAGAAGTTGTTGCATATTTTAAAACTTCACACGCTTTGATACGATGCTTCACAATGAAAAAGAAAGATAGCTTTATTCTGTACCATAGATGAATTTCACCAAAAGGACTCGTAATCCAGAATCTTAGTTGAAAAGGACCATCATAGAGAGGCAACATAATTGATAGAAGAAGAAAAGAGAGAGATACCGGGGCTTAGCCCGAGATAAAGTCGAAACGTTGACGTTGCCCTTTCTCTCTTGATGAAGCACTGGATCGGAGTGTCTCTTGGTCCCGGCTGATCAGTTAAGTCAAGTTCAAAGAAGAAGAGACTAGAACTTAAAGCCTCGGTCGATAAGGAACTCAAAAACTGGCTTGAAAATAGCAGAGGATGAATTGAAAATACCTGCTTCAGAGAAATTGGGAAAGTGATCCACCCACACTGTTCGGGAGTCCTTACGACTTCCTTTGTAATCATCCGCCATGACCTGCAAACTGAAGCACAGGCAACAACATCCCGGCGGGAAGGCCAAGAGGTTTCACTCGCTTCCACTCGTTGAATTATGTCCAAAAGAAGCTCCGGAGGTAAACTCGCCCAACGGCTCTGTTCGATCGGAACCGGAAAAGATGAAGAAGAAGGCTGCTCCGGGACAATATGCGACTTCCCGAGATGACGCATTTGAACTCCCTCCCTCACTTTTCTCGAACAATTCTCACTGCCTTCTCGTATTTCACTCTGCTCACGAACTATGCCTCTCAGAGGCATCGTGATAGCAGTATTCAATTCACTGAACACAAATTAAAAACTCCAATTCAACAAACTCAACGGAAAATAGCAACAAACACGCACCATACATTCAAATCATCAATCCTAAATGAGTCGGTTCATTGAAATAACAGATTCAACACGTAAAGCAAACCGAAATACTCATCAAACGATGCGAAAGTAGAAACTGAAAATTCCAATCGCGTTCCTCACATTCCCGGTGCATTAGACGAAACCGAAAAATCATTCGATGAAGAAACAAAAAGACAAACAGAAGAAGACAAGGAGGAGGCACATACCGCAAAAATGAGAACAGCAGTGGAGAAAACCGCGAGAGAAACAAATATACAAGAAAATCTGCAATACTCGGAGGATTTTGATGGATCGAATTAAAAAAATTATAGCAACTAGCCTTTTCCTTCCACCTTGAATTGCCCTTTTAAATCGAAAAGGCAGCAATGTCTCGGAAGTTTCAAACGTCCTTTGAAGGAAGAGAGAGAGAGAGAGAGAAGCTAAAAGATAAAAAGTTAGAAAAATTCTTTAAGACTCTCTGTTATTCCACAACAGTAGGTCGTCTCCTCCTCCATCATCACCGTTATCCACCGCCGCTACCGTCGCCGCCTCGACCTCCGTCACGGCGAGAGCCAGAGCCACAAACACGGCTCTTCGATTTTCATCCCTGAGAATCTCAATTCTTCATCGTCATCTTAATAAACGTTTTTCTAACAACCCGTTTCTCAATTCTCATCCACTGACTCAATGACAGTTCGTGTTCCGTATGTTAGTTGCTGATGTGGATGCTTTTTATTGGCCATTTGTGATAAGGTCCATGTTTGGTTGTGGTGGTCTCTCTGTAGGAAGTGCGATGCACGTTCTTGGGTAATTGCGTAGAGCAATGGTCCGTCCACATGTGAACTCTCATTATTATAATAATTTATCCTCAAACATATTTTTGAAATCATCAAAATTAGATTTTTTTTTATTTGTTTAATATTTTAGAAATTTAACAATCTAATAAAACTTTATACTACCAATTTTATCTGATTTTAATTCTCTTTTTTTTGGGAAGAATCGAAAACCAGATTTCGGAACAATTTTTATAATAAAAAATGGTGGGAAATGTGCAATGCAGGCTAAAGGGAAGGATGTTGAGGCTCCGCCCGACACGTTTGTAGAGTATTTATTGAGCAGCTTTTGCCTACACTCTCACTTCCCGTGTCTAATAAATTTTTAAAATTTTAATTTTACTTTAATAATTATTTATCTAATTTAATATTTATTAAAACTCATGACTCTTCTAAATACAAAATTAAAGTTTTCTTAATTACATTTATTTGATTTTTTTTTTTTTTTAAGTTAATAATATTTATAATTTAAATGGGTATAATTTCACTTTAGAAGTGGGGGAGAGATGTATAGATTAGGGGGTAGGTAACGAATGGAATCGAGGCTCTCATTATTTCAGCTTCTCTTTTTTTTGCATCTCCGTGGATGGTGCCATTGTTGGACCACGTGCGGGTGGACTTATGCACTCCACATCCAACATCTACTTCACACGTGTCCCAATATCACCTTATTTTATTATTCTTATGTAACAAATTATATCCTCCCACTTTATTGTAAAATATATTTTATAGTTGCCATAGTTCAATAATTAGTGTCACACTCGTTCGTATGTAATATAATAATCTTAAATAGCATACTTCTTTAAGTGGTTGTGGTACATCTCACGTTAGGGTTCTTAATATATGTAAGGAAAACGTGCCCAACGAGTTATTTAATGATATTTAAATAATTGTGTTTATTATGGGGACATTTTTCTTTTATTGTATCTCAAAGAGACGGTAACTTTAATTGTTTTTTTTTTAATATTGCAATTGAGTATTAATATATTGTTTTGGTTGAGAAAAATTCAAATTATTTTTTAAAGATATAACAAATAGCTTCCCACTTTTTTAAAAGAATAAAAAAATGCATCTCTGTGGCATGTTGCTTTTATAAGCATAATGAAAAGCATTAAACTTTAAAAAACACTTAACTGTTAAAGGCATGATATATATATATATAATTGTATGGTGAACGAAAAAATATATATTTTTATAAGTTAACAATAAATTCATAATTTTTTATTCAAATTCGATCAAATCCAAATAAATTTAAAGTTAATTCAAATTATATAAATTAAAATTTGAATTGAATTTATTGTGTATTTCGAGTTCTCGAATGACTAGAGATGAGAAAAGAATAATATTTTGAGTGATTTTCTGTTCTTGAATTATATATTTGAAAAAAAGTAGCTAAATAAATATATTTTCAAAATTAAAAATTTAAAAAAGGAGTAAAAATAAGAAAGATGAAGGAGAGTTGAGTTGTGAATTGGTAAGGGAGAAAAGAGACAAAGTGAGTGAAGTGTGGCAGAGGGAGTCACAATTGCACGTGCAGGCCACTGCCTAGGTTTCAACCACCATACATGTGGAAAACCACGTCAGATTACAGTACTAATAACTATTGTTATTTTATTACTCGTTATTATTAATAATGATGATGTGGTTGACAGATGTTCATTTGTTATCGCACTGGGATTGAGCTGGCTCGTCCAGTGCACGCCAGCTAGATTTTATCAGAATCCCCGAGCTCCTCAACCCCTCTGGTCATTTTTTTTTTAATTTCTGTAAGATTTAATATTTAAAAAGTTCTTTTTTTACTGCTAGGTTTGCGTCTCTTTTTTTCTTTTTACAATTTCGTTCGTAATTTTTTAAAAGTTATATTATTTTAGTTAATGCTAAAATTCACGTATAATTGAATGGCCTTAAAATACATTTAATCAGCCAAGTCCCAATTATCTCTTAATTGAAATGAAAAAGTTGGTCAAATCCCTCCTCACAGGAGCAAAAAAACAATCAACTTCACATAATTAATTCATAGTGGATTGTTATTACAGAAAAAATATATCTTTTTGAAGTTATGCTAACAACTTAGCCTCTTTCATTGACAACTATACTCCATTATGATTGAATACCTTATTCTCGATCAACACAAGTTCTTTCCTTATATTTTATCCTCAGTCACATGCATCTTAAAAAAAAATCTTAGGCCACCCAAAATATTGTAATAGCCGAAGGTCACGCCTCCCGATTTTAAAACATGTCTATTGGTGAGAGGTTTCCACGCCATTTATAAAGAATTTTTCATTCTCCTCTCCAATCTTTTTCGGGTCCCAGCATCCTTGTTGACACACTGTCTGGTTTCTGGCTTTAATACTATTTGTAATAGCCCAAGACTACCGCTAGCAGATATTATTTATTTTAGTTCGTTACGTATCGTCGTCAATCTGTCGATTTTAAAACGCGTTTATTAAGGAGAGGTTTCCACACTGTTATAAAAAATATTTCATTTTTCTCTCAAACCTACGTGGGATCTCATAAATACGCTTAGCAATGAAATTTCTACGACTGAGCCGCTGAAAAGAAATATGTATTTCATTTTAAGGATTGTTCTCATTTAGATGTGATATCGGTTCATTTATGTATCTATCCTTTATTGAAGAGTTGGAATTTATGTATATAAGAATTTGGGATTTAGTAATAATTGAATTGGTATGACTAAGTACCAAGATGAGATGAAAGAGGATATAGAAAAAAAGGAGTGAACAACTTAGAAAGAAGGCTGAGGAAAAGAAGCCATTTTTCAGGTGGAGGGTTTGGTGGGTGTCTGCGTGGTGTGTGGGGGTTTGGACAAACACATAATTCCAAACGAAAGGAAGAAAATAAAGAAGATATGCAATCAGATCTAGGAGGAGTTTTTGAGGATAATATTCATATTACACGATTGAGATATCTCGATTCATCGAAAATAGCAAGCTGCAAAGGCAAAGGGGCATTGGTTGGATTTGGAAGTAGGGAAGGGGAAGGCCTGAGCAGCCAACATGGAAGCGCCCATTTTCCTTGTGTCCTCTCCTTTTTGATTTGACATTATTTTTCCCTCCCACCTTCCCTTCCCATTTGGATAACCCTATTTCTGGCCACCCTCTCCTTCTCACCCCTCTTTTTCATTATTCTCCCCGTCTCTATCTCTGCTTTCAACTCATATTTTATCGATATGCATGTTGGGAGGAGAGCGAAACATCTTCCATAAGGGCGTGGAAACCCTTCCCTATCAAACGTGTTTTGAAGTTTTGAGGGAAAGCCCAAAAAGAACAATCGATTTATGATTGATTTCATCTTTGCTGGCCTACGGTACTTTATTTAAGTTTTGATTTGATAAGGGAATGGTTGTTATTATGTTGTTTTCTATGTTGAGTCAATACAACAACGAAAAATTTTCGGGTAGAAATTTGTATAGAGCACGCCTCTATACATGTTAAAAGCATTAGATCTTGACTTTAAAGGATAGAAGCTGATTTTCTTTGGAAGACTCCCGTTAACAAAAGTAACTATTTAAATATTTTTTACAAAAAAAAAAAAAGAAAAAAGAAAAAGCTTAGAAATCTTTTTTTTTTTAATGTAATATTGAAATACAATAATTAGATGATGATGCTTAAATTTTCATTAATTAGGTCGGTAGAAATAAGGCCATACATGAATTGACCTTAATGAATGAAGCAATGAGCCCTACTATAATCAAATCAATGATGGTCTATTTAGATTCTCAATTCAAATGATTTGATCAAATCAAGATTATATATTATGATTAATGAAATAAAGCTATAAGGATTTTTTGAAAAAGAAAAATTAGAAAAATCAAGACAGCTAATGTCGTCATGGATCAAAACCTATAAAAATGGAAATAGGTTTTTTTTTTTTCTTAAAAGAAATGTATTAATTGAAATAGATTGCATCATTTTTTTAGTATGATTGCCTCAAATTCATGTTGTCTTCATAATTTGGAGATCGTGATTTAAATGGAAAATTATTATTTGATATTTATGATATAATAATAATCTAATACCCGAATTTAAGCTAATGATTGAACTTTTTTTTTTTTCAAGTTTCAAATTTTGGATTAAATTATCATATGCATGTTATTTAAAATATTTTTAATGATTTATAATAATTAAATTATTATTTATTAAAATTTATAGATCATAAACTAAAATGATGGTTGAAGGTAATAATATATATCACAGTGTAAAGTATGCAAATTGCGAGAAAAAGCAAAGAAGGTAAGTTTGTTGGGAAGGTAGCGAAACGTGGGGGCAGGCTTTCCGCTATCTTGTCGGGCGGTACTTTTTATTTGTGACAGTTTTTGCCCAACCAGGTTCTCTTGCCCTTTTGCAACCTTCAACTTGAGCTTCCATTTTCTTCGTCTATGATTTGAATTGGGCTGGGCCCATTATTTCTACTTTCAGTTTCCTTGGCCCACCCATTCTAGATTTCCTCCCTTTGTCGTCTTTCACCCTTAGATTGCCATTTCAATTATTTAATACATATTCCTGTCACGCCTCACAAATCAAACAATATTTAAACATAACTTTTAAATAAAATAACCTGAATCTAAGTATAATTCATGAAATATATTTTTCAATTCAATTTTCTTTCAGACGTATATTAAAATATTTATTCGTTTATTCTTCCCCAAAATTTGGGCCTTCGGGCCCGTCCAACGTCCGGACTGCCTTATAACAGTCATGGGCTCGGCCCTACAAATTGGGCTAAAAGACCCATGTGGGTAGCAGCCAGTCCCTCTGACTGTTGTCAGAAC